ACCACTAGCTTCTACCCTTAGATGGCAGTAGCAGCATCTCCCTCACATCCTTAAGACGATAAAAAATGTCTTTTGACATTGCCAAATGTCTCTTGGGGAAAAAAACAAAAACAAAACCTCCCCGAGGTTGATAACCATTGGCCTAGAGCCACCATAGTTTACCTTTGTTACCATATGGAAGATAGTACTTAAGAATAAAATATACAGAGGGCGCCTGGGTGGCTCAGTCAGTTAAGCGTCTGCCTTCGGCTCAGGTCATGATCCCAGGATCCTGGGATCGAGTCCCACATCGGGCTCCCTTCTCTGTGGGGAGCCTGCTTCTCCCTCTCCTCCCCACTTGTGCTCTCTCTCTCACTATCTCTGTCTCTCTCTCTCAAATAAATAAAATCTAAAAAAAAAAAAAGAAGAAAACATACAGAGAGGAGAGTAAAGCCAAGAGATAACAAGGCAGCAAAAGAAAGGTCAATCATTAATGACATACTGTAAGACCCTGGAGTCAACTACACTTGAAGTGAGAACCACCGTTGGTATTATGGGACTTTTAAAAAAGTATATTTTTGTAAGCTATTTTTAGACATGTTTCTGACACCTGCACCTGAAATTGTCCTGATTGATTGTATAACTACCATACAACTTACATATAAATAAGTATGACAGATATTATGAAGTTGGTAATTAAAGTGTGACAGATGTTATGCAAGAAGGGTAGTGTAAAAACTCATAGCAGGTGGGCTTTCTGGGGTGGGGTGGGGAAGCATCACTGGGGAAGTGTTTCCGAAGTTAAATAGAAATAATTCAGATGAAGTGATTGAGGTGGAGGTTGAGGAGAGTGATGCACAGAGAACTAGCCTAGAAGCAAAAGAGAACAAGACTTTAAAAAGTCCACATGGGTTTGGCTGGAGAGGGCAGAATAGATGAAAATATAGAAAGGTGTGCCAATTAGAGTCTCAATAGAAAACAGATGGCACACTCAAATGATAATAACTGAGCAGGATTTATTTACAAAGGAACTAGTTAATTACACAAGTCTGGGTGGTGGGTAGGACATTGATTCTCAAACTTCAGAGAATATCAGAATCACCACTGAAGCTTGTTAAAAGAAAGACTACCAGTCTCCACCCCAGAGTTTTATATTTAGTAGTTCTAGGGTAGGGCCTGAAAATTTGCATTTCTAGCAAGTCTGAAACTGATACTGATTCTGCAGGTCTGTGGAACACACTTCAAAGACCACTGGTATCAGGAAATTTTAAGGGGTAGTGCAGGATCCTAAGGCTAACAGCAGCTAAACTGTAACTACTCCTAAGATCTGAAGAAACAAATCTATGTATGGTGTAAACTGGAACTGAGAACAGGAGAGAGATTTGTGCAGAGCAGGCATCATAATGAGAAACTGAAGTTCCTTGTAAGGATGCAGCCAGCTCAAGGCAACATCTCAGGGAGTGAGGAGGGAAATAAATATTCTGACCTCACTCTCTTCCCTCCCTTGGATCTCTTGCTGGGAACCCTGTTGATTTACACCATGTAAGACAACCTCCCAATAAAGAAAGTATGGTGGAGAAGATCTGAGACTAGATCTGAAGGGTAAAAAGAAGATTTCCATAACAGATAAACAATGACCAAATATGGAAGGGTTTTTATAAATATATAGTTGGTCCTATATCCTTAGAACAATGGAAACTACTGAAAGATTTTATTGCAAGAGAAGGGCATGATCAGATTTTCCTTCTGAAACAGGAAACTCTGATCATGCCCTTTTCTTGCATAAAATCTTTCAGTAATACACACACATACACACCCACACACACAGATAATGGGTTAGAAAGGAAAGGACCTCATATTGGGTATTATTCCAGATGACAGCGGAGATGGAGATAAGCAGGCAAGTTTTGAAATTATTTAAGGAGCACACTCAATAGAACATGGTGGAGTGAGAAATAATTTAAAAATGACAATAAAAAAATGACTACTAAATTTTGGCTTGGGCAATCTATTGAATCATTGTTCCACGTACTAGGAAACTCTTCAAAAAGGAAAGCTTCAAGAAAGACAAATAATAAATTCAGTCTGGAATATGCTACCTTTGAGATGCTTATGAAACATTTAAGCAAAAAATATAACAGGGTTGATATATGGGTCTAAGGCTCAGGGCTGAAGATACAGAATGGTAAAATTTCAGTAGGAGAAAGGTAATCAAACTATGAGACAAGGTAAGCTTATCCAAGGAAAGCAATGAGAGCAAGAAGTTTAGGGTATTTATCTGGTTATCAGTAGGAGTTACTATCTTGTGTTGAAATTAACATATTCATAAATATGCAAACCAGGTTGAGGTTGTACAAAGAAAAATATACCGACTGTAATCATCATTCTATTTTAATATGACTCGTGCTAAATATGAAAAACCAAGGCTAGATCAGCAATATGAGACATGAGGAGGGCACCAAGAAAGGGGATGCTAGTAAGGGAAAAATGGAAGGTGAAGTGACAGATTTGGCACCAAGAAGAATAGAATGATTCAGTAACTTGAAGCCTTCATCAGTGGTCTCAACTCAATACCACAGGTAATTTTCTTGAGAAACCAATATTAACTGATAATATCCCCTTTACTATTCCCTTATTTGGTGTTCTATCATCTTTTATGCCATAGATCTAAATAATTATTTCCTAACCTTCATTTTCTACTTTTAATTTCCTTGAAGAAATATAGATAAGAAATCAAAAAGGAAAAAATTCTAGAAAACTAAAACCTTCAATCCATTTTGAATCTCAAAAAGCTTAATTAAAAGAGCATTAATTGAACACCTATGACAAATATATACATAAAGGCACTGGTGATCTAAAATTCCTGTGCGCTGACTAAAATAAAAGCTTCCTATAAGCTACTTACGCAAAGGTCTGATAGTGGATATCCATTGTACTGATCTGTGCAGCATCCACTCTACTTTCTTCAGGTATAAAAATCCTAATTTTCCTTTAAAAACCCATAGTTCCTCAAATCTAAATCTACATGGTTTTAAAAAGAGGTTGACCCCACCTCCTACTTTCTTGAATGAATATATATGCTCCCACACTATCCAGTGAGAATAACACTTCCTTCTGAATGGGATAACTGGTTCAGGATTTAGTTTATGACCTACCTCAGGCCAATGAAAACAAATTTGGGGTCTCTTGATGAAACACCATCCAGGTGTTTTACTTCTACCTGGATGTTTGATCTAGAACTGTTGGTGGCAATTGTTCTTGCCACCTGTTGGGAGGCACATGTCCAAGAGTAAAACAAATAAAAGGAAGCATAGACTAAATTGAGGCAAAATATCAGAAAAACTGAATATTGATAATCTAAATCCAGCCACACTACCTCTGGACTTTTCAAATATGCAAACCAAAAAATTAACATTTTTGCTTAAACCAGCTTGAATTAAGATTTTTGATGGTTACTGCTATATTAATAGAAATGAACATAAAGCTTAAGGTTTTATATTTGATTCCAAATCATATACATTGTCATCATCATTAATGGATTTTACAAAGTTAAAATATAAATGGACCGTTTAAGCAGAATTTTTTAAAAATAATTGATCGAGTCTAGAACTTTAGGGCCTTACTGAGTAAATTTCAAATCATTAAAAGAAGTATGTTGAAGATTTAAAGAAAAATAAATTTTAAAAATGATTGTTTGTGTTGTTATTCTGCTTCCAACCAAAGCCTAACATCTCCTTCTTGATAGAGAGATGATATATAGATAGATAAACAGAGAGATACATACATACATACACACATACATACATATAGATAGATTCAGATCTCTCTTATTCCCTTATTCTCGATAATGAACTTCATAATTAATAGCAATGAAATATTTCAAAATGCTGCAAAAACTGCCTATATTTGCTACTTCCATTAATAAGAACTTTCATTTAGGATACAGTTCACATTGTATTTTTTTTTAAGATTTTTATCTATTTATTTGAGAGAGAGAGAGAGAGCATGAGCCAGGGGTGGGGGTGAGATGGAGAAGCAGGTTTCCAGATGAGTAGGGAGCCTGATCTGGGACTCGATCCCAGGATCCCAGGATCATGACCTGAGCCAAAGGCAGACGCTTAACCAAGTGAGCCACCCAGGCACCCTAGTTCACACTGTATTTTAAAGGAAAATATATTTTGTTATTTTGTAGAATATTTAGCAAGGATTACATGCCTTAATATTATGCAAAATGTCAAAAGAAACTTAAATATTACAAAACACAAAACCAAAGGCCATGTTATTATTTTTTTACATAAGAGCATATTTCAAAGGGATGAGTTAATTGATATTACTGACTGAGAAATTATGAAATAGTGTTTTCATTATAAATGAAAATTATCAGTTATAAAAGTATAAGTTATGAAATAATGCCAAAGAAGGAATGTCTGGCTTATTCAACTAACTAAAATAAAATGTCTAGCCTCCTGCTTCAATATGCTTAATATACTTGCTTTATTTTGATACAGTATCATATTCTATCCTTATAGATTTCTTTCATCTCTACTCTAAAGATAAGAACTATCCTATCCTCTAAAGATAAGAAATATCAAAAATAAAAAATAAAGATAAGAAGTATCCTATCCTAGTCTAGGAAATTTTTATCATAAAATTTAGAGTTTGCATCACTATTCTTTCTGTTGATTATGAACTTAGCATTATAAAAGTGAGAAAGAAATAAATTGTTGGGCATCCACATTGTAATTTGCAAATTAGGACTAAATATTTTAAGATATTAAATCACTAAATACTAGTTAATTTAAAACAGACAACTGTCTCCAATAGAACCACACATCCCTCTTAGATTCTTTATATTTAAGGGCAAAAATCATATATATTTTCAATAGAATTATTTAAGGATATACATACTTGAAATATATTATTGCTCTTGTCATTAACCCCTGACCATCAAAAAATTCTTAAAAAGTAAACCTTTTAGAAGTCAACCAGAGGTAATGATCATAATGAGAAAAGAGACTTACATGATCAATCAGTTCACGGACCATTCCATTCCACTGTCCATTGGCATCATCCTGAGCTCCATATTTCCCATCCTCCACAAGTCTAATTTCATATGTAAAGCCAAGGATTGTAGATAACTCTCTGAGGAGGTCAATGCAGTAGCCCTCAAATCGATCATTCCCATAGAGAGGCTTGTCAGATTTCTTAAACAGGACGTAGGGTTCTTCCTGGAAACAGTAAACATGAAGGTAGGAGGTATTAGTTAATCATGAAACTATGAGAATTATAGCTTGCCTTAGAAGATAGAATATTTCACATTAATTTAGAACAACAATTTTATTTTTGCTAATTGTAATTAATATAGGGTGAAATCCTAAGAAGGCAGACTACTTTGGGAATATTTGTGCTTCAAAAGAGAATATTTAACTATAATAATTTCACCATGACTATATAATAAAAATATGTTTTTATCTTATATCATATGTAAGAAGTAATATATAATGTGATATATGCTATAAAATACGTAATACATAAGATCCAATTTCACATGATTACAATATCCCAATTTGAATCATATCACTTATTCAATATCTGCTGTGCTATTTCAGTGGGATATATTGATGAAAGAATGAAAAAAACTCACTACCTAATTGCCTACTATGCACTGAAAACTGGAGTAGGGACTTTTATATATTACCACATTTCGTCCTAACAAATATAAAAATTGTAACTACTATATTTATAGAAAAAAATAGTAACTTACTTTGGAATATAGAAAAAGAAACAACATTTATCAAGTGTTTATGCATTCATCCAACAACATTTTATGGAGCACCTACTATGAGCCAGCCCTCCTCTATATAAAAGAGAAATTTCTGAGTCATAAAGTTCATGATATAGATGAAGAAATCAATAATAAATGTCTAAAGAAATAGAACACATAACTTCTGATGCTGATAAATGGCATGAAAGCATAAAATAGGGCAATAGGATACAGAACAACCTTAAGGTACTTGGCAAGATAAGAGAGGACAAGACAATATTGAGTAATATGTCTGGAAGTCTTTACTGAGGAGATGAGAGATGAGGTAGAACCTAAAAGATGAGAAAGAGTTTAGCCATTTGAAAATCTGAAAGAAGAGCATTTCAGGTCAAGGACGCAGCAAGTAAAAGCCCTGAGGCCAATATGATACTGGTGTGTTCCAGAAAGAGGACTCTTGCCATCAGAGTGACTGAAGTCACATCCAGGAAGTGAGGGAATCAGTTGAATAAGGTCCGAATGAAGAGAGAGTGAGGAGCCAAATCCTGTAAGGCTCTGCACAACAGGCCCTATTAAAAATTCATGTTTAATTAAGTACTAAGAGAATCCATGTGTTAGCATATTTTTGTGGGGCAGGTGGAACATGGTATCCTGTGAATAAACCAGAGTGCAATTGGCTCTAATACTTACTATCTGACCATGGGTAAAGCCTCTGGAATTTGCTCTCTTAGAGAAAGATGCTGCAGAGTGGAAAAATTTAGAGGAGGTTGCCCTGCCAGTCTGTCTAGAAAGGTGATTACCCTCTTCCCGACCCCTGGAGAACAACAATCATCCCATGAGGGTCATCACACCTAAGGGCATTTTGGATATGATAGTAATGTGTCCTCTTGCCTATACTCACCTCAGAAATAAGACTAATTCCATTTTTCTTCCCACCCTGTTGACCTGGCTTATCCCTCTACTGTTTCATACACACTCTAGCCTGACCAGTTGCTGTTCTTCTGATGTTCCCACACACTGCCACTGAATGCTAAAGAACTCCTGTTTAGAGATCAGCACACTGTTCCACATTTTCAACTAATTTTTGGAATGCCCTTCCATCTTTCTGCTTTATTGGACCATATCCCAATAACAGTGCTTCTCCTTCAGCCCTCTTTCATGGAGATTATCTTTAGTGTCACCCTTCCATCACTCAGGCACAAAGGCACATTTGGTGTCTTCCTTGACCCTCATTGCTACCCCCAGATCATTTCTTCCCTCTTTCATGCTTCTGCTCCTCTAAGGCTCATGCCATTTTACTATACCACGCTCTCTCTTTACAGTTGCTGTTATCCAGTGAAATCTGAATCAGAAGATGTACTAAGTGGGAAGGGAAGCCTTTACTTTTCAAATGTTTACCTACTGGATGACAATTTTGCTTTCTTTCCCAACTCTTATCATTATTCTCTATGTATTCAAAATCCACCTACATGAAGCATCCAACATGGTGTCTCCGTCCTTTTACCTCCTCATTGTCAAATCCTTTCCCTCACTAGGATTTAGCTTCTCTCTCCCATGACCACAGCTACACTCTGCAATTGTCAGAAAATGATCTCTATATTAAGATTTCTAAAATCTCATTCATCTAGCTCATTGTTCAATCACACCCATGCCTACAATTCTTTGGTCCTATAAAGACCTCTAACCCAGTGACCCCCTACACTTTCCCACTATCCATCAATCCCCTTCTAACCTCACTTCTGACCTCCAAACCTTGTCTGGCCTAGGTCTCATGGTCCATTAGCATAATTTCTATGCTATACACATCTTCAAGTCTCTCACCACTTTTGTGCTAGCGTACTTGGCCTTAAAAAAACATGCCTTACATGACATTTTTTTTCACCATGCCAACTCCCAAAGAGCTGAACAATGTTAATTGTTTACACTTACAATTAATACCCTCAAATGTTTGATGGTACGATCTATTTTCAACTCTATGAGATGGACATTTTATCCATTCTTCTTTAACCTCACAACTTCCTGCTCTAATACTTAGTTGATTACTTCTGAAAGAAAACAAAAGCAATCACATGTCATGCCCTTACATGCCCACTGCAAACCCCACCAAACTCATCTACCTGTATTCATTTTCTCTTCCTTTGTCTACTGCTATAGAGGAACTAGAACTCTGCTTATTGGGCCAGTTCTAATAATTATGTTCCGATTCTTGTATTAGGCAGGGTTCCAACACAGGATGCCACTTAGAGCAGAGAAGTGATTTCAGCTGAGAAATACAACCAGTCTAACCCAACTACAGAATGTTTCCATGTAGATAGAAACCATGACCTCATTTGTCTCCCTCCCTTTGATCTCTTGCTGGAGCTTCCCACTGGTCAAACCGAATCAAAAGCCAGGGGATACATGAATCTATTGATATAATCCACACAAATCAGATACCTGGGACAGACAATAGAACAAAGAAAAGTGGAGGATGGATCTGGGGACAAAAAGGATGATACATAGTATATTCCCACCACCTTTCACTTGCTCCAAGTCCTGATTAGCTGAGTTATCTTGTATCTCCTTCATAATCAATCTGTCCCTTTACATAGAATCATTTTCAAAGTATATATACTTATTCCAATAACTTTCACTTAGTCCCATGACCGCCTTCTGCCACAGCCTAATTTTTGTATTTCTCTTTATAGACAACTATCCAGAAAGATTTGTCTACACATGCTACCTTAATGTTCCAGTTATCTGTCCATCCACTGGAGTGACTTCTAGACTCACTCCACTTAACTGATCTTGACACAGCACTAACAACTTCCAATTTGCTGAATCAAAGAGATGTGGCTTTATTCTCTTTTTACTCAGCCTCTCAGCTGCATTTGCAAAATGAACTATCACCCCCCCACACACACACACACACACACGTACTTTTTAACACTCCCCTCTCTAGCTTGTGCTACATATTCTTCTTGGCTTCCCCCTACCACAATGCGAACTCCTCACACGATCTTTTGCTACTGTGTTTTTTTTGTTTGTTTTTTTTTTGTTTGTTTGTTTGTTTTACCTTATTCTAAATGTTGATCCTCAGCACTTGGCTATAGCCCCTCTCCCCCCTTTTTTTTTTAATTTGTCCCTAAATGATCTTACCCACACACATTAAATTCAGTAACATCTTAAGCTGATGACTCCAAAATTTATATACCTGACCCAGACCTCTCGTAGTGAGCCTTAGGCCCACATATCCAACAGCACTTGTCAGTACCACTTAATGTCTCACAGACATCTCACATTTAATGTGCCCCAAATGGAATTCATCTTTTTCTTAAAACTTGTATACCTTTTCTCTGCTTTCAAAAAATGACACCATCATCTACCCAGTTACTCAAGCCAGTTACTGAGGCATCATCCTTGCTTCCCTTTCTTTTAGTTCATTCACTAAAGTGTAACAAAATGATCTTAAAGTATGTATTTAATTATATCCCCACCACTACTTCAAACCAACTAATAGATGACCAATGCATTTAGAATAGTATTCGACTTCCTTGCCATGACCCCTGAAATCTGTTTTACCACTTGTTTTCACATTGGCAAATGGCTCCAGCATTCATAAAATTGATCGAGTCTAAAGCCAGGAAATCACTCTACCTCTCCATCCCATCCTTTGGAAATCCTGCAAGTTATTCTATTCAATACATATCCCAAATCTATCAAGCTCCTTCCATCTTCCCTGCTTCCATCATGGTTCATATAATCTTTATTTCCCCTATGGATTCCTATAGTAGCCTCTTACCTCTACTTTCCATTTCTATGTTCCCATAGTCAATTCTCCATAGAAAGTCTTGGTGATCTTTTAAAAATTAAATATGATTTTATCATGCATCTGCTTAAAACCCAACAGTGGCTTTTTATTAAAACTAAAAAAAAAAAAGGCAAAACTGCTTATCCTGGTGGTCACAGGCCTGCACACTTTTCTCTCTGACCCTAGCTTTTCATTCCTCTCTCATTATATCCCAGATATACTGGTTTTCCTTCTGCTCCTCAAACTTACCAAACTCATTCCTGACTTGAGGTCTTTGTCTTGCCTTCCTTGCCCCCCCCTTTTCTGACTGGAAAGATCTTTCTAGGATCTTCACATGGCTGTTTCATTCTTGTCATTCAGGTCTCTGCTCAAATGTCGATTCTTCAGCACTAGATATAAATTGTGTGTGTGTGTGTATACATACATACATACATACATATATACATATATGTATTTCCTTCTAAGTTACTTCTTTCTTTGCAAATGTTTTGTTTTCTTCATAGCATTTACTTTAATATGAAGTTTTATTATTTATCTGTTTATTTATTATTATTTAAATTATCTTTTTTGGGGATGTGTGTTTCTTTCTCCCCCTTTTAGAATATAAATAATGAGTGGGCGCCTGGGTGGCTCAGTTGGTTAAGCGACTGCCTTCGGCTCAGGTCATGATCCTGGAG